CCGTGCCAAAGAAACGACACTAAGCGGCGCGTTCCATTTTAGGTGTTGACAGTGGATAATAAATCCAGGCCCTACCTAACATTTACAGGAACATTATAAAATAAGTGAAACGGCGTGAGCTGGTTCCCGGGGCAACCAGACAAACACAATAAACAGGCCTCAGAGGCAAGAGTAACTTACACCATCCTCCTGGGTCTCAAATATATCACTTTACATTAGCCTTCTGCTGGGGCTGCTCCTGAAAGCTCTTTGTTTTATTATTATTATTTGAAGGGGGAAAAAAAAAAACCCTACCAAAAAAAAAAAAAAAGGCTGGTATTTTTTTAGTGCAGATCGGCGTGAAATCGAAGAGTTCCTTTGGTTGCTTGTCTTTATAGGTCTTTTACTGCACATTAAAGCTTCTGTGAAAATAATAACGACTATTAATAAATCTTTATAAAGAACTGCGTCCCCCTCCTGCAGAAGAATATTATTAATAAGGTGTCCAGAGCCCAGTGCCTCTGCTGGCCCAATAAAAACCAGTTTTGAGGGGTATTTTTCCTCAACACAGATACAAGATTAAGTGTCAAATACACAGGGTGGCTGTGGCAGCTTTCTCCTGGTTCAGCAACCTTCCTCCAACTTCTTTTGTAGCCAGACCATGGGTTTGGATCCTGCTGTCACTAATTTTAGGGGAATGTTCTGCACCCAACCAGGTCACTGCAGCTCAGGCTCAGTAAGTCCCACCCCGCTCTGTACAAAACAGTGACATTTAGTTCTCCTAAAAAATCAGCCAACAGATTCTCTCTTCACCTGCCTGCGGTGGGACTGTGCAAATATCACGTCGATATTTGCAGGTACAACCCCTAAACACGGAATTTTGAGAATCAGACTGTCCAAGAACAAGGATAAGGAGCTTCAGTTGAGATGGGAGAAGGAAGGTGAGATTTTCAGAGAGGCACAGAGGTTGTGGGAATGATGTGACAGGTTGAGGAACACGACCTTAGAAGTTCCTCAGCTTTTAAGACCACCTGCATCTGATTTATCCCCTGAAGCACCATCAGTGACGAAGGAACAGATTATTGCAATTTTTCTCTGCCCATCCACTGCTGCAAACCATGTTGTGCTTCAAGCTCTCTTATTTGGGCTTGTTGAGCCACCTTTCTGTGGTTTCCGTGGTTGTTTTGGCTTGTCCTGTCCCAGGATGGGCAAACACAGGGAGGCTCCAGCTCGGAGAAGTGTCCTGGTCATTCTAGCTGGGAATAAACTGGGTGAGTCAAAAGCAGCACATGGAACATGTGAGTGTGGGAATCCTAAAAGAAGCAGCAGGAGTCATTCAGTTCATCTCCCTGCACTCCTCCTGAGCTGTCCTGGAGTCCCAAGGCTCAGTGACCAGAGGGGACCTGCCTGGAGACAAGGGGGTGCCAGTGAATAGCCCTAGAATTTGAGCAGTGCCTCAGCAACGACTGGAAGCCTTCCCCGTGTGCTAATCCAAGGTTTTCTGCACAGGAATAACATTTGGAGCCGCGGATCCCAGGCTGGCTCACAAGTGAAGGGCGGGGTAATCACATGTTCCCGATTTCTTTGCCATATTTAGTTCCATCCTCTCCAAACTGCCACCGCTGACGGGCTGAGGTGGAGCGGCCCTGCCAAAAAACGAGCTGCTGGCCCAAACCCAGGGGTGGATGAGGTGGCTGCTGGGTGGGAACACATCCCCCCCCAGCCTGAGAGCAAAGGAGGCAGCCTGGTGTGTAAGGGCTGAGTAAAGGCAGCGCTGGGAGAGTGGAGGTGGCTTTTCCCCCTCTATTTTATGATCTAATCACCGCCCCACTGATGACTAATTAGAATGAGTGAGGTCCAGATGGCCAGAGCCTTTAATGAGGCCAATTAAGGATTCAAATGTTTTCATCCAGTTCCCTTTTTCCTAGAAAGACTAAGCAGCAATGGAGGTCCCACCTTCTGCTCCAGGCATGGCCCAGCCACACGACCCTGGAGGACTTAAAAAATAAAAGGCAAATGTGATAAGGGAGGAACCAGGGCAGGTTTTCAGCAGGGAGGCTTCATGCCGTGCCTCAGCCTCCAAGATTTATGCCAGGGTCCATCCCTGAACACCTCAAAACCAAACTCCTTTATTGGTAGGGTTGTCCAGCCTCACTTTCTCCTCTTTATGGGTTTTTCTGCTGCATACTCTGCTCTCCTGAGTCATGGTCATGAGGAGCAGAGCAGTAACACTGTGAACCAGAATTTCCTATTTCTAACCTGAGCAGGGAGTAGCTCACCAGGTTTCCACCCTTGTTTTGCAGGTTTGCAACAGGGTGTCCAAGCAACTGCTTTGGAGTGTTTATTTGAGCTGCAGGAGCTTCCTGAGGATCTGTTGTCCCAAGGGCCCTTTCTGTCTGGCCACCTGAGGTTTGCAGGACAGCCATTCCTATGTCACAACACCACCTGAGGACCTGGGGAGGTTTTAGCCTGGTTCTTTTCACAAGACTGCCATGCAAACACTTGCATTTTGCAGGATGGGAGCCCAGGGGGAGAGGGACTGTTTGTATGGCACAGGAGGCAGAAAACGAAAGAGAGGGAACCTCCAATTTCCAAACTCAGGCTGGAATTTAGGTGCCAAGTCAATCTTCTTGCTACTGCATTTCATAGACTTGAAGGAAGAAAACAGACTCCAATTCTGTCATGGGTCAGATACCTGCACCCTCACTCTGGCTGTGAAATGCTCGTGTACAAAGTCAACCACATTCAAGTGCTTTCAGTGGGGATGTTCAGGTGAAAAACCCCCCAGACCTGCAGCCAGTTCTGCTCCCAAATTACTTTAGAGGTGCAAAATTTGTCTTGGTCCTGAACTGGTCTGGAGGCTCAAAATTTAAACATTGGTCTGTTTTATAAATGAAGAAAAAAAAAAAAAAAACAACCAAACAAACAAACCACCCAATTTTAAAAATCCTTCTATTCACAAAACATTTTACTTTTACAAACCAGGTTTTTGTTTTTAGTAATCCAAAATTAATCAATAATTTAAAACAGTTCCATTTTAACATTTCCCACCCCGGAGTGACTCCACTTGACTCTCAGCTTGGTTCCAGGGGAGCTGAGAGCCTGAGATGCTCCAGGGTTGGAGGCTCCTCAGGTGAGCTCTCCCCTGGGAAACGGCAGCAGAGGAATTCTGAGCATTCCAAAATGTCTCGGGGCTGCTTGGAAAGGAACATGTCTGAGTGCACTGGGCTGGATCAACCACAGGCATTGTGAGGTTTGTGGTGTGTCTGGGTGTAACAAAAGCAGCCCCAGTCTATAGGAGGTTTCCCGGACGTGTGAGGCTAATATGGATTACATATGTTCCATGAAATACCCTGGGAGCTCCAGGAAAGCTGAGCTGGAGCTGTAGGACCGTTTGTGGGAAATAATGTCACCGCTGACAGGATTCCTGACCACGAGGGGATACAGAGACAACACCATTGTCAGGGACACAGCACGGAAAATGGACCCTGCCCAGGTGTCCCAGCAGGTTGGGTCCCAGTCCTGGTGAGGGCCATAGAGTGAAAAAAACCAAAAACCAATGTTTCTTGTGATGAGAGATCCAGGTTGTTCATTTCTTCCCTCAAAAATTACAGGAATAATGTGCTTTAGGGGAGTTGGTGCTTTAAAGAGTTGACTTGGCTGCTAAAATTGCCAATGTTTTTCAGAAATTATTTACCAAGGACCTACTGGAAGGTTTTTTTTAACGTGTTATGAGGTGAGGAAATACCTGTGACAATGAACCCCTTCCCCTTAACAATCTGAATGAATATGTCTGGAGAGAAACCCTTGGGATGAGCAGGGGAGACCAAAAGCTCTGCCTGATGTGAATGCAGTGGCACTTGCTTTCATTTCAGATAGAAAAACACAAATGAAGTTCCTGATTTCTTGGTTGAGTTGATAATTTCATGCCAAACATGCACCTGGCAAAGGGGCCAAGGGAAGCTCAGGAAGGAAATGCCCAACTAGGTCGTGTTTCTGGCAAAACAGAGGCTCAAGGGTATTTACAGGGACAAAGAGCCACGGTGCCCAGGGGCCCTGAGGGTGCAGATGGAGCCTTGGAGGAAGCAAAAGGCCACTCCAGGGCAGAAAAGTCTCCTGGGAACTTCTGGCGTATTTTGGGGATCAGCCAAGGCAAAGAGAAAAAGGACTTTAAACACTAATATTGGGCAGGGTAGAGACAGCCTGAAAACCCAGAGGTTGGGCTCCCTTTGTAGTTATTTGTGGTGCTGGGTAGGGTTTCACTCGTGGTTTCTATTCTTTCCCTCATCCCTAAAAAATGTGATGAATCCCATAAGGTTTCTGACCAGCAGTCGGGTGCAGCACTGCAAACCCAACCCACCCTCCCCATGCTCACAGTCCCAGCTCCAAACTGGGCTTCCAGTGCTGGCCATCCAGGGTTCCTCAGGGTTATCCAGCTTGTGGGAAGCTATCAGACCTGATTTCCCCATTTATTTCATTCTTCCTTCAATAATTTCATTGTCTTTTCCCTGGTTTATTCCGTTATGTGTTTGGTTCTTCCCTGATATCTTTGTCTGTATTATTTGCTCCTGCTGCCCCTCCTGTGCCAATGCCTTTGCCCCAAAGCACTGGAATCCCCCCAGCTGAGTCCCTCCCAGTCCCCATCATGATTTTAAATCTCCAGTAGCTCCTGCTGCCCTTTGTTTCACCACAGTGGGAGATGCCAGCACTGCCAGGTCACCTCCCTGTGCCACTGCAGCAAGGATGGGCCTCCCAGATTTCCAGGCTTATCCCCTTCTCCATCCTGCCCCCAGACACCAGGACACAGAGCAGACCCAGCCTCTGCTTCCCTGCTCCCAGGTGCCACGACCTTGGGAAGGTCCCACTGACATCTCCTTGGGAATGGGGGATTTGACCACAAGGTTTTGGGTTCATCATGGCTCACCCTGAACAACCTTCAGCCACAGCCACATCAGCTGCTAAGTAGTGATGGAAATGTCACTTAATTCCAGTGAAAACTGCCTTTATTTGCTGAGGTCCCCCCCGTTTTTCCTTGTTAATGCATAAAGGATGATATAACACAGCACAGAGAAAAAAGGCTTTTCCTGTCCACTCAGTCAATGGTCCAGAGCTTTTTCCAGGTGCATCTTTCCAGTCACAATTTAACAACACAGATCTGAGGCTTGCAGCTGCCCCCAAGCCATTTGCGGGGTTCTGTTCACTGACACTGCCAGGTCACTGCACCCCCAAGTGTCCTCCAAGCCATTGCTCTGGATGTGGGGCAGGTTGGGAGTCTCTATTCATTTCCAGGAGGCCCTTCCAGCACCAGACCAGCTCCCTGGGCCATTTCCCTCACCACACAGCTGGCAGCTTCCCAGTAGTGCTCCGAGAGCTCCCTGGCCAGGCCGATCTTCTGGATGTTCTCCCTCAGGTTCCCCTCGAGCCGTACCTGGTCCAGATACTCGGGGTTGGCAGCTCTGATCCTCTCCTCCAGCTCAGCCTGGCTCTGCAGCACCGAGGAGGTCATTTCCTGGAGCACAGCTCTCCCAGCAAGGACACGCTTTGTGGAACGACTCAGCTCCTGCACCTGCTGCTGGACCCGCCTCAGCTCCTCGGGCACCTCCTGCTCCTTCACAGCCAGGGAAAAACTGAAGCCCTCCATGAGCACCTGCACCTTGTGGGCACCTGGAGACACAGAACAGCATCTATCCCGTGACCTGCCTCTGCCTGGAGCCCAACACAGGGGTGTTTAAACACTCTTGTTTCTGCAAAACTGAGCAGAGGACGCAGGAGCTCCTCAGGACTGACAGAAAACATCCATAAAATGAGCCTGTGTCCAGTTTCCTCACCACTGAGGCTGCTCTGGGTGTCTGTGCTGTAGAGCAGAGGTGTTCACCAGCAGCAACCCAATAGATTCGTTTCTAAGTTCCTTAAGGAGCTCCTTAAGGGGCCAAACCCACCCCTGATCCTGCTGCTCTGCCCCCCCTCCATGAAATCCATGCTCTTTCTGCCTGGCAACGTTGGAACCGCCTTTTCTGTTTGCTCACTGCTGTTGGGTGAGGCTTTTCTCACCAGGGGATTGCAAATCCAGCCTAATCTTCCCTGTGACACCTCATTGTTCTCCGGGTCAGGTCCCCCCAGGTTTCAGGGCCGGTTCTGTGGTGTCACAGATGTCACAGGGCAGGGCTGCCAGGCTGGTGCCACCTGAAGCAGCACCAGAAAAGCCCAATCTCACAACATGTGAGGTCAACCAGCCCAGTCAGAGACATCCTATTGCACCATAAAGCTCTAAAAATGGCCAGAATCTCCACGAAACCTGAAATCTGTGCTGTGCACGTGACGTGTGACAACGACAGGGCTGCTGTGCCACGGCAGCTCCTCCCAAAATGCTGCTCATTCCCGTGGTCCCAATGATTTAATGCTGGTGCCAGTGAATTCCCAGCTCTGAGCCGCTTACCGTGCTCCTGCTGCAGGGTGTCCATGCAGGCTGTGAGGGCAGCAGCGGGGGCACAGCCACAAACCTCCCTCAGCCTTCTGGCAGCCCTGAGCATGGCACAGTGGGCCTCATGCTGCCCGTTGAAGGTGGTGGCAATGTCAGAGAAGAGGGTGTCGATGGCCTGGACGTTCACCAGCTTCATGGTGAGGGTCCCCTCCCTGTTGAAGACCCCTGGGGAGACGAAAAACCCAAAGGAATTTCAGAGGTGGAATAGAAGAAACCAAGCAGGTACGTGGGGAAGGAGGTGAAGGGTTGAAAACTTGTTTGGAGTGAACGTGGCACCCTGACTGAGATGCCACAGTGAGACCCTTGGTTTGGATTTGGGAGTTCTTCTGTCACCTGAAATCAAAACTTTGCAAAAGGAAAGGGATTCTGGGCAACTTCAGCCAAAGCCATTTGGAGCAGGAGTTGGGGGGAGCACAGCCCATAATAATTAAACCCAAAGTATAAGAAAAAATGAAATTACTCCAGTTTGAAATGTGAATTGAGTATTGAATCATTCCTGACTCTGTGAGTTTTGCAAATGCCCCAGAGACAAAGAGCTCTCCATATTTCGGAGAAGCACAGAAGCTGTTGTCAGGTCTGAGATAAGATCATGATGAAAAGCTTTCCACATCCAAATCCAAACGTGGGATATCACCAGGCCACGTGGCTCAGAGGGAAGCAAAGAACCCTTTGGTGAGGAGGTGAGAGAACCTCTGAGTTTGGAGGTGAGAGAACCCCTGAGTTTGGAGGTGAGAGAACCCTCAGTGTGGAGCTCTGGCTCGTGTGGCTTCCCCAAGGCTCTTCCTTTGCCAGGAAGCAAAAAGACAGTGGGTTTTTACACCTTGTAGCTAAAAAGCACCTTTTTTCCATTAAAACTGGACAGAAGATGGTGGTTTTCAGCAGCAGAGGATCCCCCTCAGTAATTTGTCACACCTCCAGCAGGTTGAAGCTTTTCTCCACTAAGCAAATCCTCCTTACCCAAAGATAATCTACAGGCCAGAAGTTCCCAACCCTCTCAGACCACGCTCAGTCCGGGGTCATTTTAATCCGAATTTGACACTTAAAATCCTCAAGCAGCTGTGGGTGTTGCACCCCCAGAGCCCTAAAGGAGCAGCTCAGTCATCCAAGTGGAAACCAGAGCCCTGATTCCCCGAGAGCTGTCCCAGAGCAGGGTTTGTTTGACAAACCTGCAGAGATCTGATTGCCCAGCAATGGAACACACGGAACACACGATCCAGTCGCTCCCAGTGGTTCCAGCAAACGTCAGGGAGGTTTGTTTTTTTTATAGAGGGAAAACTCCAGGCTCGGTTTTGAACAATAAAAGCTGTTCTAGTGCCTTTCCCTGTTGCCAAATTAGTGCTGAGCGTGCTTTGCTTCGCTTCTCTGTTTTGCTTTTATGTGTCTAAGTTTCCTAAAAAAAAAAAAAAAAAAAGAGGGGGAGGAGCAGGGAGGGAAGAACATGGAGTTTTTTCCAATAAAGTGATGAATCTAATGATAAATAGAAATGAAGAGTCTGTTCTCTGGGGTGCCACAGAAAACCAAGATGTTCCTATAAATTTATAACAGGATAAGAGAAGGAAAAATAACTTTCTATCAACTTCCACCTCATTCTGTAACATTTATTTGAAGAAGAATTGATGAATAAATAAATAGTTCATTAAACTGCCCTGAAGTGTGTTGTTTAGAAATGATTTAAGGAATGTGCAGAGCAAAGTCTGAGCTAATAACTGATCCCATTAACCCTCCTCAGCACTCCTCCCTGGCCTCTTTCTCACTAAACAACTAGGACTGGCCTTTGACAGAAACACTGGTTTGTAAGAAAATTAAAATATTCCCATCAAATGCCTTGCTTTCTGGAGAAAAGCTGATTTTTTTTTCTCAAATAAAAAAATATATCTTAGAAAACATTACAGGGGTTTGTCTTTACTGAAAGGAAAAATATTTCATCAAACACCCAGAAGAGTCTGTTCAGGAAGATCAGTTTGATGTTTCTTGGGAGGGTGTTTCAGCTTGTCCTGTTTGGTCTGGGGGTGACTGTTCCAGGCATTTGTCCCCTCCTGGAATGTCCCCCTTCCCTCCCATGAGATGGGAGATGGGGGAAAGGGGAAGGATGTTGTGGGATAAGGTGAGTTGTCCCACGAAGGCAAACTGCTTTAATTCACCCAAACTGCAGCTCCCACAGGCTCAACAACATCAGCCTGGAATTTCTTTTTTTTTTTTCCAAGAAGTTTAAAATTCAATCAGTTTTAATTCAGCCAATTAAACAATATTCCTTTGACCCCCACCAAAACTCGGGTTATTTGGAGCCTCAGGAACATCTGACACAAGGGAATGGCAGGGAGCTGGCCTTGGGTGCTGTGCTGGAGAATTTATGACTAAATGAACATTACAAATGGAAAGTGTCCTCTCACGAGCCTCTCAGGCTCCTCTGCATGGCCAGTAAAGTCAGCACATCCAACCAGGGCTGGAAAAAATGCCCTAATTCCCTCTATACCTTCTGCTCCCACAACGTTATTTTGATCTTCCCTGGAGTTCCTCTGTCCCAGAAATGATCCCCTGCACGCTCTGGAAATGATCCCCTGCACATTCTGCAGCTTTTTTTAGTCCTGTAAACAAGTTATTTTGGGGGATCTTCGAGTTTTCCTGCGTTCCTACCGGATTTAGGATTTTTCACTTCCTGTCCTAAGTTGCCCCAAAGTGGTTACCCAGGAGCTGCCCTGCAGGGACTTCCTGGGAACTGGGTTCCTCCTGGATGAAAAGCACTGTGTAAATGTAAGATCATCCCCATTTCACGCTCTCTCCTCTGACTCCACGTTCACAGGCTCTGGCAGGGGGTCCCCACCACTATTTTTGGTTAAAAAGTGGGGTGCTGACAACCTGTGCACGTGCACTCCTTGTGTATCCGTGTGCAATGCCAGTGCTGGGGCATTTTTGGATGAATCCCAGGATTTACTCATTATCACTTTAACCACTGTCCACAAAGAAGGGGGTGAGGGGGCGAAACATCCAAAGAAAATAGTTCCAATCTCATTACCAATGTTTCGACAGGGCTGCCTTGTGTTTACAGGAAAGTGCTCCCGCTGTGAAAGAGAAAGAAAATCACGATTTTTTTTTTTTGCCAAAAAGAGGAGGAATCGGCTTTCTATGGGAATATTCTTTACTTGTTCTCCAGAGGGAAACGCTGCCCTGTGGGGAAAGGGACCCCTGGGCAGAGCAGGACAAGAGGAGGGTTTGGATGAACCAGCATGAGGGCAGAACTCACTGGACCACACATTCAGGGAGTGCTTGAACCAGAAGAAGGAAAACCTGACGTCAAAATACCTGCTAAAATTCCAATTTGGAAAGTCCTGAGTCGGGCACGGCGCCAGCTCCTCTCCCCTCTTCCCTCTCCCCTTTCCCCTCTCCTCTCTCCCCTCTCCCACCAGTCTGGACAACTTTCCCAATGTCTTGTGCAGCTCCAGCAGCCCCACCATCTCCCCTCCCCACCGTGGGTCCTGAGCCAACATCCCAAGGCTGTCCCAAGCCTTGGCCACCCCGGAGAACAGGGAGCAATCCCGGCTGATCCATCGGGTGCTGCCTGATGTGCTGCTGGCTCTGTGCTCCCCCCAGGCCTCAGGGACATGGGGGGGGGCTGTCCTGGTTTTACATCCCTGGAATTACCACCAGGAGTTGTGACCTGCCTCTCATCACTGCACCACACACTTCATAACTCGCCCACCAAACCCGGCCTGTCCCGGGCAGAAATGCTGGAAAAAGCATTTGCCACTCACTTCAGGAAGTCTTTAAAACTCCAAAAAGAAAGGGTCAAGAAATTAGGACTTTTTCTACCCCCTCAATTCCTGCACTTCTTGTTTATTTTTTGATTTATGTCCATTTTTGGGTGAATCTGAGGGCACCGACTCTTACCTGTCTGGCAGTGAGATACTGAACTGGAACTGGCTCTTAGAGCTACAGATCAAATCCTGCAGAAAAGTTTGATATGCTCACCTGAAACTGTCAAATTTCAGGGGTTTATACCCAAAATTCTAAATATTTAAAATAGTAGCTATATCCATATTAAAAGCTGGATTGGGATAGTGAAAACATGACAGTAACATAAAAGGAACAGTGTTGGCTTTACACCTTGATTGGAAACTCAGTGAATAATCAGCTGTGATATTTGTCCTAGGAATGCTGCCTGCGTTAATAGATCAGAGGAGCAAGCCACTGCTAAAAATGAGACAGTTTGGAACATGTCCTCCCTTTAAAAATGAATGTAAAAATTGCTTTTAAAGTATGAAGGAAGGAGACCAGAGAAATCCGTTCATCACCTCATAACAATAATAATTCATACATTAATCTTGTGCTGTGACACAGCTGTAACAGGGTTCCACAGGATTTACCAGGCCAGTTACTCTCTGAGATGCGTCTGGAAAATGAATATAATTATTGCCCAAAATTCTAAACCAGCTGAGTGTAATCCCTAAATGCACACACGGTTTGGGGGGTGAGACAGGCACACAGGGAAGCTGTGGCTGCCCCAGCCCTGGGAGTGTCCACGGCCAGGTTGGAGGGGACTTGGAGCAACCTGGGCTGGTGGAAGGTGTCCCTGCCCATCCCACAGCCAAACCCTCCTTCCCTCCCCTCCTCTGTCCTCCCACCCAGGGGAAGCTGCTTCCTTACCTCTTCTGGAGCAGCCGAGAGGCAGCAGCAGAACAGGGCAGGCATGGCAACCTGAAAACAGACCCCCAAAAAGGGGGGACAAGGGAGTAAAGAGTCTTTTGGGGACCTTCAAAGAGCTTTCTCACACCGCAGGAAAACAACAGCAGCAGGATTGCAAAACAACTGCAGCCCAAATATAGCGAGGAGTCCATGTCAGGGCACGTCCCGGTGCTGAATGTTCCCTCGCCCAACATTCACTGGCAACATTAAATCTGCATTTGCCTCTTGGCAAAGCAATGGATGTGATAAGTCGGCTTCTCTCCCTCTGTAAATAAATTTGGGATTATCAGACAATTGGGTTGCTCTGGATTTCCTCCCTCCTGGTTCTTCCTGGACAGGGAGAGGCCGAGGGCAGCTCGGATGACACAGGAGGAGCAAGGCCAGCCCTGGGGACAGCAGGGCACAAAAGGCATCTCCCCGAGCAAGTGTCATCATGAAAACACGGGGCTGCACCCACACAGGGGATCTTATTGTGTCAAAAAACCCGGTGGATTAGGGCTGGATGTTGGGATCTGAAGCAATGCTCACCTTTGCTGCTTCCACACTGGGGCTGGAGGATGATCTTCTACAACCCTGTGTGTCAGCACAGGTTGTCTCTCATCCCCACAGTCTAAATTTTTGTGAGCATCTCTGTCTCACCCTGCACATGCTGACTGGGCAATTCAGTAAATATTCCAATGAACTGGACCAAACTCAGCCTTCTCACAGCAAACTAAGAGTTAAGTGGTGCTTACCAGAGCGGGACTGGGAGCTGCAGCACACCTGAAAGGTTAAATCTGGCAGTGCCAGTGGTGACCTGTAGCAGCAGAGCAAGAACTCAGGTCCTCCTTGAGCCAAAACAAGAGCTGGAGCTTGGCATCTCCCTCTTGGCTCTCCAAGGAGCCCTGGATTTTTTGGAGGGCTCCCGAAACGCAGCTCCACAATCACTTTCCAGCCAATAAAAGGCAGAGGCACAGATTCATAAAAACTTTCTGTGTCTCATAAAACACAACATGCAGTTGCTAAATTAGAAATTCAGATCTTCCACGCACTTGGCTGGATGGAGATGGAGACTCCCAATTGCTTGTTATAAACCACAGTGTGCTGGGCTGCCTTGTTGGGGTTTTTTTCCCCCCAAACCCCCTTCCCACTCCTGCTCTGACATCTTTGCTCTTTTTCATACCAGTCTCTCCCAGCCACAGATCCCAAGTCATAGGCAGGTTTTTGTTTCAGCCTCAGGTCTCCTGCCCATCCTCTTACTCACATAAAATGGTGCAATTAATTTATTGCAGTCTGGCCACAGTTGTTTTATTCATCACCACTGCAGAGCTCCTGTGAAGGACGCCCAGGAGAGGCAATATCATCTTAACAAAACCATCCTGAGGAAAGCAAGCTGAGAACCCAGGGAGGAACAGTCAACATCCAGTGTGTTTTTGGGATGATATTCCTTCCAATAAACCATTATTTAGGATAATGGTTTATATATATATATATATATAATAAACCATATTGGGATAATGAGTATACAGCCTGGGAAGGGAAGAAGCCACACAGTAAACAGATGTGGGAGAAGTCAGAGAGGAAAAGCACCAGTGGCAGGCAGCAGAATTAAGGTAATTAAGCTATGGCAGATTCATTAAGAGATTCACTTTTACCTCACATAAGGATCTGGGATGAAAGCATCACTGCCCTGAGAGGGTGGGCACATCCCACAGGGAAATGGTCCCTCTGTTCCATGGATGCTCAGATGCAGGCATGGAGGGGGTTGAAGGGAGCAGTGCCCCTGCTCCAAGAGCTCCAAGACAGCCTGAGGGCTCCTGATCCTTCCTTGGGAGGAGGATTGTCTGCCCACAGGAACAAGGCACATCTGAGTCCTGGGGCTCTCCAAGGCTGATTTTGCAATGTAATTTTTATCAACTAAGGCAACTTCTTGGGTACTGGCTACTCATGGTGTTATTTAAGGATTTACAGGGGGAAAAGGACAGATGAGCCTCACAAATCAGTGCCCTGAGCAAGCTGATGTGAGGGTAAACAACCCTTTTTCACAAATCCAAGCTATATTTTGTTTTACTTTCACTGAGATAAGATTGGGAAGCACCAACACATGTAATTGGGCTTTATGGCTGAAAGTATTCACCTAGTTTGACTCTTGCTATCTAAAATGATATGTGTGAGGGTAAATCCTGGTCTACCACCAGTGTCACTCCAGGATTTCTTAAAGCCAAGTTGAAGTGCTGATATGGGCTCTCCATATTTTTTTTTCCAATTTGTTTTTCAGTCAATATCCAAAATCCTCTGAAGTTACATTAAAACCTGAGCCATTGACAAAAAACTGTCATTCTGCTCCCAGCCTATCTCTGTAGCCCATCAGTTTTACTCCTTGTGTAGAACATCAGAAGGGTCTGCACGCTTGGGAAAAAAAAAAACAATCAAAACAACCAGCTGAGGTACAAAACTGGCCTGTCTCACCATGACATAGTGCCATGAGGTTCCCAGACTGCTGCTAAGAAAACACAGCCCAGTGCCCCTGCCCAGCTCTGCCTCATCTGCCAGGAGATGTTGAAACTGGGCCCTCCTGGCGCTGCCTTTATTTACCACAGTGGCGTTGACTCCATGTGAAGTGGCCCTTTCCATTTGGGTTGCCTCAGCCAAGGTCATCATTGCGTAAAGCAGGAGCCCACAAATAGCAAGGTCCTGCTATTTCTGAGGAGAATTACTAGTTCTGTTTGCATCAGGGCCTGGGAGGAATCCCTGCTACACTTGGGACGTGGCAGAGCTGACTTAGTCAGACTTTCTTGGATTAAGGAGTAAGAGAAAAAAAAAAATAGAGAGTCAGAACGATGAGTCACTGCTGAGGGAAAATGTGCTCTGAAGCTGCTCATGGAAAGAAAGCTTCTTAAAAATCAGATGCTGGGCCTCCATAGACACCTTTTCTATATATTGATACAGACATGAGAATAAATAGGTGTTTATAAAGAAAGATTCAAGCACACTTGTACCCAGAAATGATTGTCTGTAAACAGATAGCACTAAATTCTGGCTGGAGGTGAGATAAAGGGCACAAAACCAATCCCAGAAACAAGAGTGTCCCACCTCCAGTGGGATTTGGTTTCTCCTGCTCTGCCTAATGAAGGTTTTACAAGATGCTGCAAGGCCTGGTCTCTCTCCATCCCTTGAGAGCCCTCTCCTGCATGGTCACACATGTCAGAGAGATACCCCCATAAAACCCAGCTGCAAACCAAGCAGGCAGTTCACAGGTCCCCCAGATCACACTGACACCGAGGTCCTGCAGCAGAGAGATCCTGCCTGTCGGACCCTGTTGGTGGAATGTCATCAATCAGAGGATAATGGACAGGAAGGTGGGTGGCTGCTGATAGTTTTGGCTCATTTAATAGGGTTTTGGAAGGCTGCCAGGCTGCATGCAGAATTTTTGAAATGTTTGAAACAATACCGGCTTTACAACGTTATAAAATCCTGGGGTGGCTCCAGTGGGTTCCAAACTGGCTCCGGGCCAGTAAAACCTCAGGATTCCAGTCAGCTGTAACCTGGACTCACAAGTGTGTCTGGGGTCACCCCTGGAGCCCTCCCTGGGGTTTGTGCACCCCCTAAAGCACACGATGTCCGTGGACTGGAGCTTGTGCACAACCTCAAAGCCTCCACCTCGTCCCTTCACGGCTTTGCTGCTGCAGTTATTGCCCCTCTGTAAGTGGTGGAGATGTCCTTCCCTTCAAACACTGAAATAAAACATCCACTGATGCTCAGGTGGGGCTGAATGTTCCACCATACCTCAGGTTGGAGGCCAAGATGTGTCTTGTCACAAAGGGAAATGATGTGACATGAAGGACAGACAGATCTCTGCAAGGAAATAGAGTAGAATCATGGAATCATGGAATAGTTTGGGGTGGAAGGGACCTTTAAAGGTCATCTAGTCCAACCCCTGCACAAACTCCAGTAATGTGCAAAATGGAGCCTTAATGAAGCAGATTTGATGTGGTTTCGTGGGCACGGTGGGATACAGTGGAAAGTTGGACCTGATGATCTTGGAGGTCTTTTCCAACCTTAATGATTCTGTGATTCCCTAAGAACGAGGGCTGCAGTGAGCTCAGGCAAACCATTATTCCTGGCTTTGGCTTCATGCTTTGCTTCTCTTTTGTTTTCCAGTGCCTTGTGCCCATCAGTTTTGGACACCTGACCCTGCTCAGCAGGAGCAATGGCACAGGGCTGGGCAGGACCACCCCTCCTGTGCCACCCATGGACCCCACACAGCTGGACCAGCTCCCATCCAGACAGCTCCTTATTCCAGCCCCTTCCCAGCCACAGGTGGAATTCCCATGTCCTGATGTAAGAAACTGCTCCATGTGTAGGATAAGCAAGGCCACAACCAGGATCAGGTGGTTTGTAAATAATTACTGGGCTTGTTTCTGCTGAACTCCACTTGACTGATCAAAGCAGTGAACTAATTGTACTCATATGAGCAAATATTAAGTCACAGAGCAGGTTCCTTATCCTCATCCACAGGAGGTAGTCACAATTCTATTAAAATTAGGGAAACTTTGCTGTGCTCTCTTGAGAGCTCTAACATTGAGGTCTTTCAGCTTTTTAAGAGCAAAAGTTTCCCATGCTGCTAAAAGTGATATTATTTACTATTATTAATTTAATATTTCTTGTTTTGATCTTATTTTAGTCAAATATCATCCTGGATTTTTATTGTTATTTTGTGCCAGAAAATCATTCCATTTCCAAAGGAGAGGCAGCTCAGACACCTTTATTTATAGGAAAGTAAAAGCTAAACCTGGAGCTATCACTCCCTCCCTTCTGTGTTTCCACAAACATGATTCCTCCCAAAAGAAAAACCAGTAGAAGTAACTTGTCATAATATCATTCCTCAAAGGGAGTCTGATAACCCCAGACACTCGAAGCCACGTTTGCAAACGAAACCCACTAAATGGAAACAGAACACTCGAAGATTCAAAAATTAACCAGTTTCATTGTTTGTCCCTCCCGTGCTTTAAAAAACCCTTTCATGGCATGTTTTGTTGTTCTGTGAATCCAGAGCAAAAATAATCGATGATGGGATCCCAAACTGTCACTCCAACCTCGCCTGTGTGACTCTACAGAGGGGAATTCTACCTCTGCAGAGGGATTTTCAGTTTTCTTCAAGGCAGAACATCTTCTGATGGAT